CATCGGTTGCATAAGAAAATATGTAACGCAGCAATGAAGATCCGGAAGGCAGTGAAAGAAAACAAGTGGAGATAGCCTTTTATAGTTGAATCTACTCAGCGGAGAGGGAAAGCAGTGAAATTAAGAAACGGTTTTCCTATCCGTGGGGAATAATTTTGGCTAAAACCAATATTTAGCTCAAAACCAATATTTAGCTTTTCACCTTACAAAATTAGTAAGTTGTAGACCATAATTTTATAATATGACACTTTTAGCCTTTTACCTTACAAAGTTGGTAGGTTTTAATCCCTCACTTTATATTATGACACTTTTAACCCCTTATTATACTAATTGAAGAAAATAGCCCTAATTTAACATCAGATTTTAATGTTCTATTAGTTCTGTTAGTTGACTGTCAGTTCTATTAGCTGACTATCAGTTCTATTACTATCAGTTCTATTAGCTGACTGTCAGTTCTATTAGCTGACTGTCAGTTCTATTAGTTGACTGTCAGTTTCATTAGCTGACTTTCAGTTCTATTAGCTGACTGTCAGTTCTATTAGTTGACTGTCAGTTTCATTAGCTGACTTTCAGTTCTATTAGCTGACTGTCAGTTCTATTAGCTGACTATTAGTTATGTTAGTTGACTATTAGCATCTGTTAGTATTCTGTTAATGAAATTAACAAATAAAATTGAATTTAAATTTCATATTAATGGAATACTAAGCTGACTGTTAGTTCTGTTAGTTGACTATTAGCATCTGTTAGTATTTTGTTAATGAAATTAACAAATAAAATTGAATTTAAATTTCATATTAACGGAATACTAATAGATGTTAACAGTCAACTAACAGAACTAACAGAACGTTATAACTTCATATTAGGTAGGAGTTATTTTCTTTAATTCACATCGGTGATAGGTTAAAAATATTATAATATAAAATAAAGGATTAAAACCTATCAACTTGGTAAGGTAAGGAGCTAAAATTTACCAACTTTGTAAGATAAAGGGCTAAAACTGTCATGTTATAAGGTGAGGGGTTAAAACCTACTAATTTTGTAAGTTGAAGGGCTAAATGTTCATTTTTGCCGAATAAATTTTGTCCTTTTTATATGTAGAGTAATTATAAAAGAAAATTGCATTAAAAATATATGAAAGAAACTAACTGGAAACTATGAGGATGTTTATCTGTAGGGACATATCCACCCTTCACAAAAATGAAGGGACAAATTATCCCTCAAAATCATAAATCAAGATAAATCACTTTTTTTTTAATGTTTTCTGTTAAAAAATATTGACGTGACAAACAGAATTATGACATTTTTCGTTAAAAAAGAAGTGATTTGTCTTGATTTATGATTTGGAATAGTAATTTGTTCTTTTATTTTTGTGAGGGGTGAATGTGTCCCTACTGATAATTTTTAAGAGTGGATTTGAGCGTTTTACCTAATTTATTTATAAAATTTTATATTTCTTTTTCATTTTTGTGAGGGGTGAATGTGTCCCTACT